AAGGAGACTGGACAGTCATCTTGCTGGGGTCACTTGACCCCGGTTGTCCTTTCCTGCCTAGTGCAGGGGGACTGGACTCGATCTATAGGGTTCCTTCCAGCCCCTAACAATCTGTGAATCTATGATGTGCGTGGGCCAGGTGAAGGGGGAGTCTCTAGGGGAGAGATAAGAGCTGGGGGGTGGGCTCTGGGCCAGGGGGCCTGGTGCCTGAATGGGAGCAGAGGGGAGCTTGTGGGTATTTACTTAGTGTCAGGGTGTCTGGCAGCACTTGGCCAGGAGAAAGGGTAATGTAGGCAAGAGAGACTCCTTGCAGGGTGGGGAGGGGGGTCAGAGGGTAGGTTAGTGGGTTGGAGCAGTGCCCCCATAGGTCTGGAAGCTCACTTTGATACAAGACCATCCCTGGTGCTGCAGGATCAGGGTAGCAACTTCTGAGGGCTGATCCCCCTTATTTTGGAAGTGAACCCTTAACATAGGGCAGGCATCTGCACCTGGGAACTGGGTACCGTGAATGCCATATGGGGGCAAAGTCTTTCCTCAGTCATGAGAGTGTAGAGGTTGGCACTTAGTGCAGCCTGGCACATGGTGGCAAGGGGACCCCAGCTGGAATGCAGGTGCCTGCATTAACCCATACATTGCCAGGAGCAGGGTGGACAGGAGCTTCAGGGGCAAATCAAGGTGGAGCAGGGGAGGGGTTGCCTTGGGTTGAGTCTATGGGGCACCCCGTTAATTACCAGAGGAGGTGGGTGGGGCTTTGACAAGGCCTAGCAGGGTGATATAGGAGTTGGGGGACCACACTGGATGTACCATATATTCTTGCGGACAATGCATCCCTTCCTCAAAAACAGCTGCTGGGAATTGGAGTGCGTGTTATGTGCAAGAAATACAATAAGAGTAGTTTCTGCTGCTTTCCTGACACAAGCAAATGTAAAATCTGCAGTCATCTACAGGGAGCAGAGTGATGAGCAGGTTCTCCTTCCTCGCAGGTGCTGCTCAGTTGTATGCTACAAGGAAAGGTCTTTGGACTAATGTAATTTTGGCTTTAAAAAGCCAGGTGCGTGTTGCATTCTGGGGCGTGTTCTACCTGAGAAGATATGGTACATAGCTTCCAGGCTGGATGTCTTGACTCCAGGAGTGCTAACCTGGGGGTTAGCCTGTGGGCCAGATCTGGCCCATGGCACTGTCTCATCTGGTCGGTAGGACTCCTGAGGCATCCAGAAATTTGGTAGTGGAGGAGCAATGACACTTCTACCCCCTGCTATCAAATCTCTGGACTCATAGGGAACCTTGGGCCCTGTTGTCTGGATCCAGACAAGGGAGGGTCCTATTGGCTGGACCCTTCCACCCAGCTGGGAGGGTGTGGCTCTAGTCCCCTGGGACCCAATTCCAGCACACAGGGACAGGAGGGGGCAATGTCAGGTCTCCAGGATCCAATTCTGGTGCGTGAGGGATGGGAGGGGCTGGTAACAGGGTCCTGTCCAGCTTACTGATGGGCCCTGTACCACTCATCTGGCCCGCAGGGCTGAAAGATGGAGCACTCCTGATGTAGACCATGTTGTCACCCTTATGTGTACTTCCCCCTTAGATTTCTGCAAGCTAGATGGGATGCGGCTGCTCGCCCATCAGTACCTGGAGCACCTGGACCCGGAGTTGCGGTGGCGTGCTGCCCACTTGGTGGGCACCTGCAGCCAGAATGTGCCTACAGTGCAGGAGCAGGCCCTGGCACTGGGCTGCATGCGGAAGCTGCTGCGCCTGTTGGACCATGATCCTGGCGAGATGGTGCGCATCAAGGCACTCTTTGCCATCTCCTGTGAGTCTACTGGGGGGGCAGAGTCTGGGTAGGGGAATGGGACAGGGGCATTTTCCCCTTCAGGGGGTGCTGCCTCTCTGGTAGGGGGCACTAGCTGGCTCAGTGGGTGGGAAGAAGGCAAGGCCCTTCACCATCCAAAGAGCACAGGCCTCGGAGCTCAGGGGTACTGGCAGGCTCAGAGGTGGGGATGGGGCAGAGGTATTTTCCCTCCTAGGGGGCACTGGCAGGCTCAGGGGTAGGGAGACAGCATGGGCTTTGTAATGTAGGCAAAGAGAAGTGGGAGGGAGGAGGGGGAGTCCATCCAGCCCTTGCTGATGGAGTTTCTGCCCCTCTTTCCCCACATGCCAGGCTTGGTGCGTGCCCAGGAGGCCGGGCTACTACAGTTCCTGAGGCTGGATGGCTTCTCTGTGCTAATGCGGGCAATGCAGAGCCCTGTGCAGAAGCTTAAGGTGAAATCGGCCTTCCTCCTACAGAACCTGCTCCTGGATCACCCCGAGCACAAAGGTGAGGGAGCAGGGGTGAGGAAACCTGGGAACCCTGTTTACTGCACTAGCACCATTATCTGCCCCTGACTGTGCCCTGCAGCCCAGCCTTCCCTGTCTCCATCCCTGAGTTTGATGCTATGCCCCCCACCCCTCCATGTCTGTGCCTCTTCTCCCCAGCCTGGTGTTAGGGTGGCACACCCTCCATTCCCTGGGCAGTGCCCCTTCCTCTTCAACCCAGCACTAGGGATGCACCCTCAATCCCCCCAGCTCAACACTAAAGGGATGCTGATGTCCCTGACTGCTGCCCATCCCCTCTGCAGAGACCCTGTGCTCCATGGGGATGGTTCAGCAGCTAGTGGCCCTGATCCACTCTGAGCACAGCTCCTTCCATGAGCACGTCTTGGGTGCCCTCTGCAGGTGAGATGGGGAAGGGGCCTGGAAGCCTGGGTTCTATCCCAGCTCTGGGAAGGGAGTCTGGTGGGTTAGGGCTCGGATGTGGGAATCAGGACTCCTGGATTCTATCCCAGCTTGGGAAGAAGGAGTCTGGTGGGTTAGGGCCAGGGTCTGGGAATTGGGTCACCTGGGTTCTTTCCCAGCTCTGGGAGGGGAGTGAGGCCTAGCAGGTTAAAGTCTGATAGCCTGGACTCCTGGGTTCTCTCTCTTTGCTGGAAGATGGTACAGGGTGGGGGAAAATGGCAGTAGGTTGTATACTGGGCCTGACTTCCCCCATCCACACCCCCCTGCACTGCAGCTTGGTGACAGACTTCCCTCAGGGTGTGCGGGAGTGCCGGGAGCCCCAGCTGGGGCTAGAGGAGCTGCTGCGGGCGCGCTGCCAGCTGCTGCAGGATCAGGAGGAGTTTCAGGTATGGGTCCAAAGTGGGGAAAGGAAAGGAACCTCTTGGTCAGAATGGTAAGATCCAGGTACCTTGGGGCTGCCACGCTCCAGCTCAGCCCCTTCTCTGCACAAGGGGGTGCCACCATGCTTCTCTCCCTACCTCAGGGCAAAGAGGGTGGGGGTCTCTCTCCCTCAGCCTAGCCCTAATGGGGGGCCACTCTGTGTCCCCCTAACCCTATGCTGTGACTCACCTGTGCCCTTGGCACTAGGGAGTTGGTGTTCTGCCCCTTGCTGGTGGTGGAGAATATGGACAATGCCCCAGTTCCTCATCTGGCACTAGGAGGTGTTATGAGCCCTACTCTCTCTCTGGTACTAGGGGACACCATCTTCACCAGCCTGGCAATAGGGGGGGGACAGAGAGAATACCACTGGAATTCCCTCCCCAGCCATGCCCTGGCTCCCTGCCCTGCCCCAACAATGTCATGCCCCTTAGCACTGCCCTGAGGCACTGGGACCAGCCGTAGCTGTGAAAGGAGGGTGCCTCCTGCCCTGCACCTTTGTGTCTCCCATCCAAGTCGTAACCCAGCCAACCCTGCTTAACTTCCCATGCTGGTTGACAAGAGATCAGAGCATCCCTGATGACCTGAATAGGAGAAGTAAGTGGCAGCATAGTGTGTGTTTAACCCCTTGTACTACCCACAGGAGGAGCTGGAGTTCTGCGAGCGGCTGCTACGAATCTGCTTCCAGACCCCACCCGAGGAGAGCAGCATGGATCGGTGACATCCCCCTCCCCCCAGCCCAGCAGGGGAGCTCCCTACCATCCCAGCATGCAGCCCCCAGCTCCTGCCCCTTCATGGCAGCATGAGACACCAGAACTGCCAAGGGGCCAGGCTGGGCCAGAGCTGTCTGCTGGGGTGGGTGGGGCTTATTACCCTAATGAGGGGGTGGCACCTGGCACATGGTCCCCTCCACACAAATCTACTGCTTCCCTACCCCTGTCCTCAGAGTCCTTCCCCTCCTTCACTACCCCTAGCCCTCAGGCAGACCTCCCACTCCTTATCCAGATCCCAGCAGCCTCTTTCTTCCTTCTTTCCCCTTCCCATCCCTGATGCTGAGTCA